AGTTAGATAAATTGGTTTTATATCTGAAGCCTATGAAATAGGACCAAAATTTTAAAAGTCTTTGATAATTAATATACTTTATCACATGATGCGAAAGTACACAGGAGGAGGTCTTGACAGATCTACACTCCCAGGGGCAAAAACTTACTTAGAAAAGCACAAGCTGCATTGAAATGAGATGTTTTGGTGGGAAACTAATGAGAAGACTTACGTAGTCACTTCTACCTCTACAGTTCAGGAATACCTGGTGGCCCGGTAAGCTCCTGAAAGGGCTAAGACATAATGTAAAAAACAGTGGTCTTTCCCAGGGACTTGATTTTTTGCTTCCAGCCTAACTTCCAGGGCCCTGTCAGTTTTTGCTGCCTAACAGAAAACTGTTCTTGGCTTATACCACATTTACCAAATGAACAACTTCTAGTAGACTTTTTCTTTCTTTCTTTTTTTTTTTCCATTGATCCTTATATGTAATCGGTTTTTATGCTGCAGCAGTTAGTCTTTTATAGCATACCATGTGAAAGCCTTTCTCTAGATATTTTATTTCCTCAGTGTTAAGGGGATACTCTCCAATGGTAGACTGAAGCTTTTTGGTTAAATATCTGAAACAGGGGGCGCCTGGGTAGCTCAGTCAGTTGAGCGTCCGACTTCGGCTCAGGTCATGATCTCGCAGTCCGTGAGTTTGAGCCCCGCGTCGGACTCTGTGCTGACAGCTCAGAGCCTGGAGCCTGCTTCGAATTCTGTGTCTCCCTCTCTCTCTGCCCCTCCCCCGTTCATGCTCTGTCTCTCTGTCTCAAAAATAAATAAATGTTAAAAAAAAATTAAAAAAAATAAATATCTAAAACAGAAGCACTTTCCCTCCCTCTTCAGTCTGGCCATGTATGTTTCTGTCTCACTTGAAATATTTGGCTAGGACCTTTACTAGGTCTGTGATGGAGCTTTGGGAAATCCAAGAATTATAATTAAATTTATCATTAGGAAAAATTTATGAAAACTTTCATATCAAGACACATTCCACTGACATTTTTCAATTTTAAAGACAAATGTAAAAATTTTGGAAACATCTAAACAGAAATGTAAAACAAAATTTCATAAATTGTAAAGAAAAAAAATAGTTGACTTTAGACTTTTCTACTAGACTAAATAGAAGACAATAAAGCAACATATAAAGTTTTAAGGGAAAATGTGACTTGAATATTTGATATTTAAGTTGTAAAATAGTATTTAAATAAAATATTTAATTTATATCAGTCTGACTTTCCCAAAGATAAAAATTACAAATTCTTAAACATATTTTTTAAAAACACAGCCATTTGTAGGTACCAGAAAATGACCAACAACAGCAGGTAGAAATTGGAGGGGAGTTGAACCCTATAAGAGGGAGCTGCTAAGTGGATAAAATTTGTGTTCATGCAGTTGCTTAAACAACTTTTTGTCTGATGGTACTACTTAGTCATCATGGCATGTGAGTGGATGGAATTCACATATAAAGTAGAAATATTATTGGTTTAAGGAGTCAGAGGATAGTGTTTGGGACAGCCAGAAGATTGAAAAATGAAGGAGTTTTAGAAATCCTACAAAGAAAGGGGCTGCAGAAGAGGAAACCCAAAATCTGAATATTGTAAGTTTTCTCCAAACCCTTAGCTGGTGTCTGAATTACTCACACATATGGTGGGAAGAGTGAGCTCTAGATGGATGGGTGGAAAGGAATAGGTGGATGATTTAAAGTTCTAGGTGGGGATTTTACTGGCCGACCATCACAGAACACATAACATTTGGACTTTGAATACAGCCAAAGTAACTTACTTGAACAAAAATTAACATTGGTTGGTGGAAATTAACAGAATTCAGAAAATCCTCAAAGCACATTTAAAATTCCAGGATTACATAAAAAGTTACTAGACATGAAGTGAAACAAGAAATTATGACTCATAGTCAAGAAAAAGATAGTGAGAGAAATCAATTTCAAAGTTATCCAAAAGTTTGAATTACTAGATAAGAACTTAAAGCAACTATTTTTAATATGTTTGAGGAAGTAAAAGAAAATATCGTCATAATAAAGGAAGAGAATCTCAGAATAGAAATGGAAACTATTTTAAAAAGGGCAAAATGGAAATTCTTAAGTGAAAAGTACAAATATAGGAAATGAAATATTCATTTATTGGGATAAGAGATCATATACCATAGGAAAAAGCATGTGAATGTAAAATGAAAAATATAGAAATTATGAAATCTATAAAACAAGATTGAAAAAAACCCACAACAAAGTCCCAATAAACTGTGGATAACATTAAGTAATATAGTACATGCTAAATTGGGAATCCCAGAGGAAAGAAATAGAACAAATTTGAAAACATAATGGCAAAAATTTCCCAAATTTGGTGAAAACATCAAACCATGAGTTTAAGAAACTTAATGAGCCCAAGCAGGATGAACACAAAGGGAAATAATACAAATGAGAACACAATGGAACAATATCTTGCTAACAGACAAAAAACAAAAAAAGAACTCAGAATTCTATACCCTGCAAAAATATCCTTTAAAAACAAAGGCAAAATGAACATTATTTTAAGATAAATAAACAAGGAAATTCATTGTTAGCAGAATTGAACTATGAGAGATAACACCATGAGGAAACCTCAAATTTAAGGCAAGGAATGAAGTTCCAGGAATGATAAATATATGAATAAAAATAGAATACTATTTTTAAGTCTTCTTTTAATTCTTTTTTTTTAATGTTTATTTATTTTGAGAGAGAGAGAGAGAGTGAGTAGGGTAAGTACAGAGAAGGAGACACAGAATCCAAAAGCAGGCTCTGTGCTGTCAGTTTCTGTTGGTTGGTTGGTTTGTATTAATTTTTTTTAATGTTTATTTAATTTTGAGAGAGAGAGAGAGAGAGAGAGAGACAGAGTGTGAGTGGGGGAGGGGCAGAGAGAGAGAGGGAGACATAGAATCCAAAGCAGGCTCTTGGCTCTGAGCTGTCAGCATGAAGTCCAATGCAGGGCTCAAACAAGATCATGACCTGAGCTGAAGTCTAACACTGAACTGACTGAGCCACCCAGGGACCCCAGTCTTCTTTTAATTCTTTAAAAAAATATATAATTTCTTCCACTTCTAACTATTATAGAATAACAAGGACTGGATTTACTCTTCTTTCTTAAACAATTAAAAATTTGGACAAAGTCTATGAAACAATGGTTTTCGTGTGTTAGACAATAGATAGCACAGGCCAGTAATCCTCAAGAAAAGAGAAACAAACAAGGGAGCCCTTCAACTGTCTCCTCCCGACACTGTAAGGAGTTAGAATCAAAAAACAGAATCCACTAGTCTCACTGAGTTGAGAAAATAAATTTAGCATTCTGGAAGGCCAAGGCAAGCTAAAGTTCATAGGTCAGCATAATTTGGAGGAGACAGATTCACACAGAGAGCATTCTGAAGATCTTCAGAGGATTACCCTTGAATCTTTGCCTGAGGTTGGTAAAGAGCTACCCAAGGGAAAGAGCAGGGAGAACATTCTTGCGGCTCACACACAGCTCATGTTCTAGACAGTCAGATGGGAAACCTCCTACACACAGACCAAGGGTAGAATACTTAGAAGGGTATTGCTTCAGCAGGGGAAGCAAGTTAGTCCTAGACAAAAGACTTCTCTGGTTCCACCTAATGAAGCTTAAAAGCAAAGCTCAAATGGATCAAAATATTTCTAAGTAACTGGATTACATCCAAGAATAAAAAAACCTGAAAAATATTTAAAATAAAATTTCACACAAAACAACTAAGTTTATTTAAGAATGAACTGGTAAATTGAATAGCCCTACATCTATTGGAGACTGAATTTGTTGTCAAAAACTTTCCCACACAAAAAAATTCTAGGCTTGGGTGGCTTCACTGGAGAATTCTACCAAATACTGAAAGAAGAATAAATATCAGTTTTATACTAACTCTTTTAGAAAAGAGAAGAGGAGGGAACATTATACTTATTACTAAAATGAGACAGGATAGTATAGGAAAATAAAACAAAATTTTAGCAAATTAAATCCAGTAGTACATGAATAAGTTAATACACAATGGCCAAATGGGATTTACCCCAGGGATTAGGGGTTGGGTTAACATTTGAAAATCAATCCATGTAATTCACTATATTAAAAGACTAAAATAGAAAAAAAAAATAGGCTCATCTCAGTAGATGCTAAAAAGCATTCATGAAGATCTTACATCTATGAAACTACCTCCACCTGATAAAGCCTTCTATAAAAACTGGCAGCCAAAATTTATTTAAAGGCAAATAACCTAACATTCCTCCTCTAAAATCAGGAGTGAGGCAAGGATGTCCACTCTCACCACTTTTAGTTAACATTTTCTTAGAGGTCCTAGACCTGGGCAAGTAAAATGAATAAAGGCATATAGATTGGAAATGAAGACGTAAAATGCTCTTTATTCTCAGATAACATGATTTTCCATAAAGAAAATCCTGAGAAATCTATAAAAAGGTTACTAGAAGTAATGAGATTGTAAGATAGAAGATCAATATAAGAATACAGTAACAGGGGGCGCCTGGGTGGCGCAGGCGCAGTCGGTTAAGCGTCCGACTTCAGCCAGGTCACGATCTCGCGGTCCGTGAGTTCGAGCCCCGCGTCAGGCTCTGGGCTGATGGCTCGGAGCCTGGAGCCTGTTTCCGATTCTGTGTCTCCCTCTCTCTCTGCCCCTCCCCCGTTCATGCTCTGTCTCTCTCTGTCCCAAAAATAAATAAAAAATGTTGAAAAAAAAAATTAAAAAAAAAAAAAAGAATACAGTAACAGGCAAATGGGAGAACTTAAGCACATACCACTTTTACAATGAAAAACTAAAACATAAAGCAATATTCAAACTACTGTAACACTAATCTACAAAGCGAATGTTAATTTGAAACCCTCACCAAAGAATAAATCATAAGGAAGTTATTATAAATAAATAACTTAATATACTGGATTTTGGCTATTTATCCTACAGTTGACAATAAGTTTACTTACCAGCCGTTATGCGTTCTTGACTCCTTTCAATTCTGTCCTTTAAAGATTTTGAAGGTGCTTTCTTAGTACCATGTATGGTTGTTGTGGAGAGTTCTTTGAGTTTCCAGTGGGTCCAAAAGCCTTTTGGAGGTTTTAAACCTGTTATTATAAAATGTACATTTAGTCAAGGAAATTAGCATTTGAAAATATCTTTCAATTTGTCAAAGCATTTTCATGTATTACACATTTCATCCTCATAACAATCCTGTAAAAACTGTCAGTCTCAAGTTTCATATAAGGGAAACTCTAAGAGAAATATTAATGTCTTATTACATAAAATAGTGAATTAGAAAAGAGGTAAAACTCAGTATCATCTTCTGATTAATAGACATAAGCTAAATTCAATGATGGACATAAGAGGAAGTTAATTATTGCAAAAAGTTGGAAAGGACCTAAATATACAACAAGAATACATCCATACAATGGATTATGAGGTATCTGCTAAAAGTTATCTTTAAATATTTGTTAACATACAAAGGCATTTATATATGTTTTTTGTGAAGAACAATTTTACCTCTTAGGATGTGTGTCTGTAGCTTAAAAGTTAACATTAGTGCTTCTGAGTATAGGTGACTATTATTATTATGCCTTATCTGTATCTCCTGAATATTTTAAAATAATATTTATGAATAAATTGTAATATCTAAAAAGTAAGAAAAATAAGTTTTAAAAGTCCTACTTTTGTTCCAAAAGCTGTGTATGGTTGAATAATTCATTTAGTCACACTGAACACTAAAATGCCCAGCAATAAAAATGAGAACAATATAAATTCCTTGGTGTACTTCATATGGTTGTTTGAAGAGTTAATACTCAGTTCCAATCAGCTAATACTATTATCAATATTATTATACATTGATATACTTCTAAATATAGCCAATATTTTTTCAGTAGTGTTGTGCAATGAGTATTACTTGCTATATTTGGCTGTCAAATTTAAATTTTCTAGGTGTTTTAGATTCAGTTATCACTTATTTCACATTTTTTGCCCCTAGACAAAATATGCAGAAGACTTCAGTTTAATTCACTTAGATGCTTCTTGATAGATTGTCTATGTTTTAAAATATAGTGTATTAATAGAAAATTGGAGGTGCAGTAAGGCTAACAGATCAGAAAATGATTGGCATTGAAAAGATAGTTTATTACTCATAGTTCCCAAGAGGAGGGGGCATGCCATGTCATGGGGGCCACACATGGAAACACTGGGGCCAGTCCAGACACAGAGTAATAAGGGTTCCAGGAATGATAAATATATGAATAAAAATAGAAGACTATTTTTAAGCCTTCTTTTAATTCTTTTTTTTTTTTTAATGTTTATTTATTTGAGAAAGAGAGAGTGCATGAGCAGGGGAGAGGGGCAGAGGGGGTGCGGGAGAGAGAGAGAGAGAGAGAGAGAGAGAGAGAGAGAGACTCTTAAGCAGGCTCCATGCTTAGTGTGGAACCCAACACGGGGCTCTATCCCATGATACTATGATATGAACTGAAATCAATAGCTAGATGCTCAACCGACTAAGCCACACAGGTGCCCCTCCCCCCATGTTTTCTTATAGAAGTTTTATAGTTTAGTTCTTATTTTAAATCTTTAACCCACTTTGAGTTAATTTTTGTGAGTGGTATAAAATAGAAGTCCAATTTCATTCTTTTACATGTGGTTATCCAGTTTATCATCATTTACGGAAGAGAGTAAGTATTGAGTATTAGTTGACTGTATTTGTGAGGGTTTATTTCTGGGCTCTTAATTCTATTCTATGGGCGTATGTGTCTATTTTTATGCCAGTATCATTTTGATTACTGGAGCTTTGTAGTATAATTTGAACTCAGGAAGTATGATGCCTCTAGCTTTGTTCTTTCTCAAGGTAGCTTTGGCTATCCAGGTTCTAGATACAAATTTTAAGATTCTTTTTTCTATTTCTGCAAAGAATGCCATTGGAATTTTGATAAGAACCTGATAACACTGAGTCTATAGACGTTTTTGGGTAGCATGCACGTTTTAACAAAATTAATTCTTTCAATCCATGTATAAAGGATATCTTTCCATTTGTTTGTGTCTTTTTCTTTCATCAAAATCTTGTAGTTTTCAGTATACAGATATTTGATCTTCTTGATTAAATTCATTTGTAAGTATTTTATTGTTATTAATGCTATTGCAAACGAGATTGTTTTATTACTTTGTCAGATATTTTGTTGTTAGTATAGAGGAATGCAACTGATTTTGTATAGTGTTTTGTAGCCTGCAACTTTGCTGAATTCACTGATTAGGTTCTAACAGTTTTTTGGGGTTTTTTTGTCTTTTTTTTGTGAGTGTGTGTTTTGTTTTTTTGTTTTTGTTTGTTTTTGTGGAATCTTGATGGTTTTCTATATACAGGTGTAACTCAGAGCTACTGAAGGCTCATGTCCAGACCACTGCAACAAAGCGAATATCACAATAAAGTCAAATGAATGTTTTGGTTTCCCAGTGCATATAAACGTTATGTTTATACTACACTGTAGTCTATTAAGTGTGCTAATAGCATTATGTCTAAAATAATGTACATACTTTGATTAAAAAATGCTGTCATCTGAACTTTCAGCAAGTTGTAATCACTAATCAGAGGTCACCATGCCAAATATAGTAATAATGAGAAAGTTTGAAATATTGTGAGAATTACCAAATTCTCAGAGACATGAAGTGAGCAAATGCTAATGGGAAAATGGCACTGATAGACTTGCTTGATGCAGGGTTGCCACAGAACTTCAATTGGTAAAAAATACAGTATCTGTGAAGCACAGTAAAATGAAGTACGTAGGAGTATGTCATCTCCAAAGAATAGAATTTACTTCTATCTTTTCCTTTTGGATGCCTTTTACATGGCTTTTTCCTTTTTGCCTGATTGCTCTCGCTAGGACTTCCAATACTAAGTCAAATAGGAGTGGTAAGAATGGGTACCTTTCTCTTGTTCCTGATCTTAGAGGAAAAGCTTTTCAGTCTTTCACCATTAAATATGTTAGCTCTAGGTTTGTCATACATGGATTTTACTGTGTTGATGTATGTTCCTCTATACCCAATGTGTTCAGTGTTCTTATTATGAAAAGATATAATTTGTCAAATGCTTTTTCTATATCTATTAAGATGATCATATGGTTTTACTCCTTCATTTTATTAACGTGGTGCATAACATTTGATTTGCATATGTTGAATCATCCTGCATCCCAGAGATAAATCCTGCTTGATCATGGTATAATGATCCTTTTAATGTGCTGTTGAATTGGATTTCTAATATTTTATTGAGAATTTTTGCATCTATATTCATTAGGGATACTGGTCTGTAGTTTTCTTATCCGCCTTTAGTATCAGCGTGATGATGGCCTCATACAATGAGTTTGGGAGTGTTCCCTCCTCTTCAGTTTTTTGGAAGAGTTTAAGAAGGATTAGCATTCATTTTTATTTAAATGTTTGGTACAATCACCAATGGAACCATATGGTCCTGGACTATATTTTCTTGGGAAGTTTTTAATACTATTACTGGTCTGTTCAGATTTTTTTTTTTCTTACGATTCAGTCTTGATAAATTTTATGTTTCTACAAATTTATCTATTTTTTCTAGGTTGTCCAAAATTTTTGCTATATAATTGATCATAGTGGTCTCTTAGGATGCTTTATATTTCTATGCTATCAGTTGTGATATTTCCTCTTTCATGTTTATTTATTTGAATCTTTTTTTTCTTAGTGTAGCTAAAGGTTTGTCAATTTTATGTTTTCCAAAAAACCAGCTCTTAGTTTCATTGATTTTTTTTTTCTATTGTCTTTCTGGTCTCCATTTCATTTACTTATGCTCTAATCTTTCTTTTTTCCTTCCTTCTGCTAACTTGGGGGTTAGGTTGTCCTTCTTTTTTCCAGTTCCTTGAGGTGTAAAGTTAGGTTGTCTATTTGAAATCTTTTTTCTTAATGCAGGTAGTTATTACTATAAACTTCCTTCTTAAGACTGCTTTGCCAGCATCCTATAGATTTGGATATGTTGTATTTCCATTTTCATTTTTTTCAAGATATTTTTAATTTTCTTTTGATTTATTCTTTGACCCACTGGTTGTTCAGGAGTATGTTGTTTGATTTGTGCATATCTGTGAGTTCCAACTTTCCTCCTGTTATTTATTTCTAGTTTTATACTACATGTGGTTAAGAAAGATACTTGGTATGATTTTAATCTTATTAAATTTATTAGTACTAGTTTTGAGCCCTAACATATGATCTAACGTGGAAAATGTTCCATGTTAATTCTGCTGGTGATGCTGCATGGTGATCCTGCTGGTGATAAATGTCCGTTAGGTCCATTTGGTCTAAAATATGGTTCAAGTTCAAAGTGCCCTTCATTTTCTGTCTGAGTGATTTATCCATTGTTGAAAGTGGCATATTGAAGTCCCCTACTATTTTGAATCATTGTCTCCTCACTTCAGATGTGTTAATATCTGCCTAATATATTTAGATGTTCTGATGTTATATCTTGAATTGCCCCTTTATTACATAATGACCTTCTTTGTCTCTTGTTATCATTTTGACTTACAGTATATTTTGTGTGATACAATTATAGCTATCCCTGCTCTCATTTATTTCCACTTGCATGAAATATCTTTTCCATTCCTTCACTTTGAGTCAATGTGTGTCCTTAAAGCTGAAGTGAGTCTCTTGTAGGCAGCATAATGTTGGTTGTTGTTTTGTATCCACCCATCTACTCTATGTGTGTTGATTGGCGAATCCAATCCATTTATAGCTATAGTAATTATAGATAGGTAAGGACTTACTGATGACATCTTATTAATTGTTTTATGGTAGTTTTGTGGCTCCTTTGTTCCTTTCTTCCTCTCTTGCTGCCTTCCTTTGTGAATTGATGATTTTCCATAATGTCTTACTTTGATTGCCTTCTCTTTATCTTTTGTGAATTTGCTGTGGGTGTTGTTTTGTTTTTACTGTGAGGCTTACATAAAACATATAACAGTCTTTTATGCTAATAATTTCACTTCAATCACATTCAAAAACTACTCTTTTACTACCCCTCTTTTATGTTTTCTGGTGTGACTGTTTACATCCTTTTATACTGTGTATCCATGAAGAAATTATTGTAGCTATA